ACAAAATTGCTTTCATATCCTTTAAATGTTTAATAACATATGCTATAAATTATAATTATATTTTAAAAATTTAAATTTTAAATCTAAAAAATTCAAATATAGTTTTCCTTGAAAAGATGATTTCAAATGAAAAAGTTATCAACTACAACGTTGCATAACTTTTCGAGATCTACAACTTTTATTTTGGTTATTTCTCTATTTGAAAACATTTTAAAAATTCAAATTTTAAATTTTATAAATTCAAACTTAGTTTTTCTTGGCAAAATAATTTCAAATCAGAAAGTTGTCAACTACAAAGTTGTGTAACTTTTCGAGATATACAACTTTTATTTTGATCATTTCTTCATCGGACAAAGTGGTAGTATATATTGTTTATAAATTTACATCTCTCTCTTATAGTTACTATAACTATAAAAGAGAGATGTAAACTTGTGAACAATATACACTACGTAACTATAAGAGAGAGATGTAAATTTGTGAATAATGTACACTACCACTTTGTCGGATGAAGAAATGATCATGTAGATCTTGATTAGTTCTACAACTTTTATGTTTATGAATTTCCCAGATGAATTCATTTACTTCTATAAAATGCTGTTTGAAGTTGACATTTTTTAGAATCAAATTTTGAATTGATAAACCAAATTTACATGAAAAGATGACCAAAATAAAAGTCGTAAGAACACAAAATTGATAGAGCATGAATTTAAAAAATTTAGAAAAAAATCATCAAATTTGAAGTTAGTATCACGGAGAAAGACTAGTTACAAGTTTTAGCTAGAGATTAAAAAGAGAAATCAATCTTCTTTAAAAATTTAATTTCAAAAAGTGGCTTAAGAGCTTGCGTGAGAATGGACTACAAGCCACATGTAGTATAGGTAAAATCATAGAGCAAAACCTGTGAGCGGACAAACAAAAAATATTAGGAAACGCTCATATAATAATAAAAATAAATAAACATTACTCTCATATCATACACGACGTACCACATTCATATGGTTGAATATCGCATGCCTCTCGCTTACTCGTGGCACGTCCAGACTATGCTCACGTAAAGCTTCTATCTTCAAGGACGAGAAATCAGGCATATGGTAGCCAATTCGGTCAAGAAAGCAACACGACATCGATCTGGGCGCCTATCTTGGTCGACGACTGTCGTCAAGTCTGCACGATGTCCTAGCGCACCTCATTATTGCACTTAATGGGGATATCAAAGGCGAGACTGCACGTCCATAACTCGCCTCCATCATTCACGACCTCACTTGTCGTCGTCTCGAAGATGTCCCACACCTCGAGCAGTCATAGTACCGCTTTCAGCCACTTGACCGGTTTTATAGTCTGTGACATATGCAACAATCATGTTATGAATGAATGTATATATGCAAAAATTATATTAACACGTAAAACTTAAAATATTCCATACTATTGATGGGTCTAGGTGATGCGGAACGGCCCTACCTAGCGATGGCGCGAATGGAAGATCGCCAGAGTGAAAACCTGGTTCCTGTGGCTGAGGAAGTCCGCCGCCATTAGTCGTAACTAAAAAAACTAAAAAAACATCCCAATAAATATAGAACCCCCATATAAATATACCATGCAACAATATATATTAGAGAAACATATAAAAAATAAATCATCAATATATATATATATATATGCAAAGTAAACTTAAACATTTCGCACATAATTTTTTAACAATTATTAACTCTTATTAAGAAATAATGTTGCTAACAAAGATATAGAAAACAATAAATGTTTAAGGTTATGTAAAAATGATGTATAAATAAAAATAAAATCCATCATTATCATTCCTAATTAAAAAACCACATATTTAAATATTTCTATGCTTATTACTAAAGCATGAAACGATCTACATTATTAGCAATGAAAGATTAGAAGATGAAGTTGCTAACCTTTAGAAGATTAAAGATGAAGTCGGCGACCGAGAGCAAGAACTTGCTCCCCCAAGCAAGAACACAGATGAACACGAATGAACAAGCAAAGACCAAAGATTTGACCTGTGTCTCATGCTGGGGGACAGTGGAAGCGTGTATATATAGGTGGGGACCTTTAGTCCCAGTAGACGAACAAAAGGAACATATAGTCTCGGTTGGAGCCAAAACCCGATATAAAAGGTCAGCGGGACATTTGGTCCCGGTTGGTGGTTCCAATCGGGATTGAAAGGCTACCTTTAGTTCCAGTTTAAACCACAGACCGGGACTAAAGGTCCCTGCTGCAAAAGTCTGCTGCACTATCCGTTGGGCAGGAGATTCTAGTCCCTTTTAGTGGTTTCAATCGGGACTAAATCTCCTATTACTCTCAGGCCAAATTCCGGCCGGAACTAAAGCCAAAAACCAAAAGTCTGTTCTCTAATAGTGCAGATCTGGATTCAAGTTTAAAAATTGGGTGATAGGGACAGTTTGTCTAGTTGTGCTGAAATTCTGCCTTCAAGATGAAAACCCCTACTCCAATAAATATGATATTGTATCCATGTATAAGCTTTAATTTAAAAAAATCCTATATAAGAACTTAAAAAAAACAACTACTATGTAATAGTTGATGAACATTTCATGGTGAATAAACTTGATTAGATCTAGTTCCAGAACTCTGAACTTTTGATACCTAAAACCGCTGGCTAAATTTGAACTTAAACTGTTTGAATCCCTATTGAAGACAAATCTGAAACTGTGTGTTTTTACCAAATTCATCGAGAATTATCTTGCAAGCTGGCTAAATTTGAACTTAAGCTGTTTGAATCCCTATTGAAGACAAATCTGAAACTGTGTGTTTTTACCAAATTCATCGAGAATTATCTTGCAAGCCAATGGACCAACGAGCCCAAAACCCATATAACACAATTGTCGACCTACATGTCATCTTTAAAAGTCTCCACAATCTTATGGGGTTTTGAAGACCGGTTTGGACCCAAAATCGCGAGCAAATGGGATCGGGTTCAAGAATTCGCCTCTGCGCTGAACTGAACCGCATCAGCAGGATGCCGGTGTGCTTCTGCTGCTTGCGCTGCTGCTCAATCCCGCCCTGCCACGCACCGTAGCAAGCAAGCGAATGGCGCACAGGAGCTGGCGCCGTTGACGCTGTTGTACCTAGATAGAAGCAAACTGCCGGGACAGTGCGCCGGGAAGGGCACTCTCTACACAAAACTCCGCCGCCAACCCGCCATAGCCACCTCTACGGTGAGCCACATCTTTCCATTCAATTTGACAGCACGCGTAGGTACATAATGATGTGTCTAAACTGTAGAGTGCTTTTATTGAGTATAGCAAGTCATTGTTCATAGTACGAGGTTTGAACTTCTGGCAGTGTCGATGTCCAAAGTTACTGCATCTTTTCCCTCCGGAGATCACTTTGTCCTCCGTCCGTAGCGCAACGGCGAGCACTGGCAGTCGACGGCGGTAGACGGGGACGCATTCCTCGAAGCATCAGTCGTCGCGATTGCCATGGCGATCGCGCGTGGTCGGTGGGAGGGCAGGCTGGGAGCATGGGAGGCTTGGGTGCAGAGACGAAAGTGAACGCTAAGGCCCAAGTGGCCTTCAGCTTTGTAGAAGGCTAAAGGTGGGCTGGAATATTTTTCACGTCAGCCGTATGTATGGCCTGCTATCATTTAGGCCTTTGTTTAGGTGGACATAGAGCGGCTTGAGCCCAAATAGGGGAGGTCGAGGATGTTCTTTCGCACTCCATTTCACCGTCTTCGCCGCGGAACGCCGCTGCCGCCGCCACGGCCGCTATCGCGGAGAACTCAACTTAGGGCAAGATAGCCAGGACGCTGGGCCGCCGCGCAGCAGAGTCGCTCCGCCGCTGACGGCCGGCGAGCAATCTAGCCTAGTAACCTACGATTAAACCATACCATAAGCCATGGCAGGTCGAGCATAAACCGTATTTTTTCAACCAACGAACAATTTTTCTCTCATAATAAATTATTCTACAGTACTTTTAAACGGGGCTTATTTGTATAAAACTTTTAAATAAAATGAAAAGCTCAAAGGTATTGGGAAAAAAAAGAACGAAGACAAGTGAAGGGAGTACTATGGGGCGTTCACGACTGTTCCGCTCCATTTTTTTTAGCTCCACACACGCTTGGTAGAGGAAAAAGAGTCAATTTGTAAAAATACCTAAATAGTTACTCTACAAACTCTAGTTTTTTTAAAGCTGCTCCACAGTGAAGCTGCTCCACGGTGAAGTTTGTAGAGGAGTCCAAACACCCCTGTATTAATAAAAAACTTGCATCTTTATGACTTTACAATTTAGGCCCCAATTGTTTCGCTGAAAAAATAAGTTAAAATACTGTTCTAGCCGATTTATTGTGAGAAAGAAAAGTACTTGTATCTTGCACTATGGCCGTAAGGCGAAAACACAGCTGACGAACTTTCTTTCTTACTTCCTTCTAGAAATACATATTTTCATCTCAATTTTATTACATAAGCAACAAATAGATGTGCCATATTCAGATCCACACGCGCTTCATCTCTCTCCTCCATCTCTACTTCAGTTCTGTGGCAACGCACCGGCGCACCTAACTGGTTGTAAAAAGTAACGGAAGAGTGAGAATATATACAGAAATTTTGTAAGTGACCAAAGTCACACAACAGGTTCTAATAAAACCATGTAGGAATTGAAGGTGTCCCGGTTACCATACAGTAGTAGGAAGAAGTAAGAATGAAGGCTAATCGGATTCAGATTCAGAGGTTTCTTCTAAAAAGGGATCTCATAATTGTTCCCATGTTAACCCACCACTTGATGATGGCAAACGAAGCCATTACAAACATCATCTACTTCATGTTCATATGGATACTTTGCAGTTGGCCAATAAAAATCAATAAATTTTCGTTGATTGGTTGAAGAGGAATATATATACTAGTCGCAAGAATCTTCCCCACTTGATGCAAATGATCTGTGCAGTAGAATACTGTATGTATTATGCAGTCAAAAACAAGTAAAAAGAACACTTTCCCTTTACCCCAAGAAACGAAATATATGCTCGCTCACCTGGAAACCGCTTGACCTCGGCCACCTGGAAACCCCCAACGAAATATATTCCTCCAGTCGAGGGAGTACTTGTTGTCGGCGGCCAGGTTCTGGTGATGAGCTTCAATTCCCCCGTGCGCGCACCCGGTGTGCAATGAGCGGAGCTCCTCGTCGGTGAGGTCAGCGAAGACGTTGAGGCCCAAGTGGATGAGAACCCCGGCGGCGTCGGCAGCGGCGTTTTGCTTGTCGAAGCGGTGGCGGTTTTCCTTGAACACCGCGTACCGGTGCTCCTCCTCGTCGATGGAGCTGTAAGTCTTCTTGTTCTTGGCCATCCAGTCCCTGAACATCCTGCGGGTCTCCACCTCGTCGCTCCTCTCACCGTACGCTACGGCCGACATGTACGCCACCGACAGCGACGACACCAGAAACAGCAGCGCCGCCGCCGCCATGAGAGCCGTGGACCTCCTCATCCCCGAAACCACGCGAGGCCGGCCCGGCGGCGGGGGAGATTTGTGGATCGATCGCTTTTCCGTGTGGAAGTGGAAGAGGAGGGGATGGGGGCGTGGTGGTGGGCCCAGATTCGGCCTGTAGCGGTTCAGGTCGGGGTCGGGGTCGGGGTCGGTGCGCCCGTTCCCTTTCTACTGGAGTTCTGGGTCCGTGATTGCGTGGCTGGCGCAGGGAGATGGCTGGCCAGTGGCCAAGCGGTGCGTGGGGGCAGCCGGGTCGGTGGTTTCTGGAACGCGTTTGTCCTATTTTTTATTAAAAAATGAAAGCTTTGATTCTATCTGTTCAAACAAATACAGTACTACGGAATACAAGAACAGATTCATTTTCGACTTCAAAAAAATAAACCTCGCTCTTCAACCGAACGCTGACGATGAAATTTCTTTAAAAAAATGTATATCGAACACTTGCAAGTTGCAACATATACAGACATCCCCGATCTACTTATATAGCATCCATATGAAATAATTACAACATACCTTTACAACGTCTGAAACACTTAAAACGTAAACTTGATACATGTACTTTCATCGCAACATCTCATTGCTGAGGTCACGCGTCGCGACGGCCACAGCGTCGACAGTGGCCACGACCTTCTAGTGGGTGTCGTCGACACCCTAGCAGCACCTCGGCGCGAGAGCGGGCATGGCAGGGGATGGAGCACGATGCGGCGATGGAGTGCGGCACCGGATGAGGGAACCTCACGGCGTGGGATGGGGTGCGCGGCAGGGAAGATGGTAACAGCAAGTGCACATCACAGCAGCACACTTTCGATGGACACGGGAGTGGGAGATATTTTTGAGAGAGATAGAGAGACGCACAGAGGAAGCGGGCCTCCTAGCCAAGTGAGAAGCAATGCAGTTCCTTCATGGGATAACTTGGGAGGCTTCAAATTTATGGAAACGAGACATCTGTCAGTGCAGCCAACAAAAACAGTAGGCCTTGATGAGCTGCATTTCTCAACCCCCCAGATATCAACCAGTGTTGTGGCTCACGATGGACATCATCATAATTTCGATGGGTTCATGCCATTCAAGGGAACCAACACAAAGGTCCTTAACCAAGGTACTTTGCTAATCTACAGATCGATTACTGAACTGAAAAAGGTTAAACAGTAAACTCTGTGACTGTAAGCACTAAAAAGTTAACCATATTTGACTGAGATGAGCTCTTACAGTTCCTAAGAGAAACTGCCCAGATGGTTTCTCGTATTATTTGAATGATTGTTCTCCAGTAAGCACTGCTTTTTAGGTGATACCACAATAGGTTATCAACGCTATCATTGTTATTTTTAGCAGTTTCACCATTCACGACACTGAGCCAGCATCTTGTTCTTTGTGGTTCTAATTTGCATATAACACTATTAACGTTACACTTTGTATCAGTAATGATTTCACTAGGTGATCACATTTTAGTATTACACACTTCATAATTTCAGGTGTGGAAGCTACTGACGGGCATTTTACATCCGTAATAATTTCAGATGTGGAAGCTTCGGCGACCGCTTCCAGCTCAAACGGCGGCCCAGAAGTTGGGCGTGCTCTGCTCTCTCTCTTCTGTCAGACGGCTCGTGGGGCTCAAGTTCAGCCGTCATCCAGCAGCCTACTTCTCACGTCGATGCTGGTGCGATTTTTATTTTTATTTTTAACAGTTTTTTAAACTAATTTTAAATCTAACACTGTTTTTTTTTCTCAAAACTAACACTTTTGGCCACGTCTATTGCCATGGCGCGACGAAAAGCCTATGCCGCACCATACATGGTGGCGTGACAGGTGGATGACGTGGCGACGACCGGAAATGCTGACCGGTAACGTGGCAGGGCTTGCCGCACCACCGATCTTAGCGCGGCAGTGACGCGCCCTGATCGGTGGCACGGCAGAGCCGAATAAAAGCGTCGCGGCCTAGTCCCGCCCGAAGCACCGCACACCCGCCTACCGTGCGCCGCGCTGCCGCCCGCCGCCCTGCACCTTCCGCCAGCCTGCCACGCCGCCGCACGCCGCCACGCCACGAATGCGGGCACGCCACGGCCGGCCACTGCCACCGCCACGCCACGCCGCACCGCCCACCCTCCGACCCGCCGCGCACGGCCCGCATCCCTGAGGCAGCCACCGCGCCTCCCGGGTCGGGTCTGCAAGCACACCACCATGAGGACGAGCGCCGCTGCCATAAGGTACTCCCCTAGTGTATTTGTTGATTAAATCGACATTGTTAGTATAGTAAGTTAGTAAAATAAATAAAGTTAGTATAATTAGTAAAGTATAGTTAGTAAAGTTAGTTTAGTTAGTATAGGTAATATAGTAAGTTAGTATAGATAGTAAAGCTAGGTAGTTTAGTTAGTACAGTTAGTGAGTCTAATTATACATTGTATTTAGTCTAATTAGTTGTTGTAGTTAGCCTTATATAGATGTTAATATTAGATTAGTTAGTATAGTTATAGTTAGAAAAGTTATTAATATTACTATGGACATTACGTACGACGATTTCGACGACTTGACGAAGTTTCTTGAAATGTTTTTGTAGATGGATTGTTGTGTTAGAGTTTTTTACGGATGAAGTGTTAGGAGAGAAGATGGTATGTTTGAGCATATGGAAGAAGAATTGGAATGGTTTGATGAATCTCCTAGCTTCAACGACCTTTGTGTCCGTTTGAATGCAAAGTTTGGCGGTGATTTCACACTGAAGGGGAGGTTTGATACTGGGAAGAATAGGGCACACTATGTCCTCATACCCTTGCGTGACCCTACTCACTGGTCCTGCTACACTAGGGTGTTCCATGGTTTTAATGTGCCCATGGCTGAGGTGGTGGTGGAGAATAGGTACAGGATGCAGGGAGTCTAGGACGGCCCGTCCAGTGACGGTGTCGGAGGCAATGAATAAGAATTAGGGGTCGATGGAGAAGCAACTCAGGGTAACATGGATTTGGACGGTCAGTTGATGCAAGAGCAGTTTCATTCAACTGCAGTAGGCTGTATAAGCAATGACTTCGATGTGAATGAGTTCGAACGGGAAGAGGAGGAGCAGGAGAAGGAGGACAAGATCGGTGATGTAGTTAGCAGTGATTCAGACGATTCTGATGATGACCAAGGAGGTACAGATGCTATGCCAACACCAGTTGATGCCATGCCAGTACTGGTTCATACTAGGACATTACCAGTGCCAACTGAGGTTTTGCATGGTATCTAGGCTCAGGGTAGACTAGTCACAAATTTGGCAGCAGATAATACCCCCTATGATTCATGGGCCAGAATTAGCTAAGCGCGGCAATATGTTTCACCACCACCTTACACAGCGACTGAGCTTGAGCAACTAAGATCGATGAACGTACCTTTCAGAGGCGTTCCGAACTATAGGGATGTCAGCATGATGGATATGACAGTTTATGACACTAGTCTCCAGATGTGTAGGAAATCATTGTATGACCATGTGAAAGAAACCCTTTGGAAGGGGATGATATTCAATACAATGTCAGAGATGAAGCTCTTTCTTCAGGACTATGCTGTGTATCACCATAGGCCGTACACCGTCACTCATTCGGACAAGGAGTTGAGGTACACGTGATATGCAAAAACGGTTGTATGTGGAGGTTAAATGCACGAAAGAGACAGAGTGATGGCAAGTGGAGGATAAGTAAAGTTGTCGAACTCCACACTTGCCTAACAAATAGAGGGAAGGAAAATCATCAGCAACTCACTGCACGTTACCTTGCCCGTCGTATATTGGGGCTCATTGATGACAATAATGACATTTCGGTGTCTTCTTTACAACAGTCCATATCTGGATTCATTAAGTATGATGTGAAGTACAGAAAGGCTTGGCGTGCTAAGCAAATTGCCCTGGTGATTCGATGGGGTAGTTGGGAGGAAGCGTACAACAGGGTGCCCCGCATCTTATGTGCAATGCATTACTACAACCCTGGCTTGAAATGGTTTGTGAACACTGGAGGGATGTGTTTTCGGGACCCGTTGAGGCATGTCTCTATCGTGTGTCCTGGTCGTTCGCGCAAACGGAACATGCATTCCAGTTTTCTCGGCCAGTCGTACTTGTTGATGGCACTTTCCTAACAGGAACGTACAAGGGCACCTTGATGATGGCTGCTGCTATTGATCCTGAGGACCAGATAGTACCCATGGCTTTTGCTTTAGCAGACGGAGAGAACAATGAATCATGGTCATGGTTCATGTGGCTTCTACGTGTACAAGTGCTTGGCCCATCTTGCACTATATGTTTGATCTCGGACCGTCACCCAGGGCTACTTAATGCTGTAGCTGAGCATATAGATGGGTTCCCGCCTCTAGTGCATAGATGGTGCATGAGACACTTTGCAGCTAATTTCTAGCAGTGTCAGAGGAAGTAGGAGGTATGTGACAAGATAAAGGTCCTATGTTGTGTACGTACAGAGCACCAGTTCAAGGACACAAAGAGAGAACTAGACAAGATGGTAAATAAAGCGGGAAAGGCCTGGTTAGAGGCACAGATGAAACAGAAGGCTCAGTGGGCGTTAGCATATGACGAGGCGGGTTTCAGGTATGACATCATGATGACTAACTCCTCGAAGTCCTTCAACCGTGTATTCACCGGAGTTCGATCGTTGCCTGTGTCTGGAATTATTGAGTTCTCCTTTCATAAATTCAATGAATATTTTGTCAAGAGCTGGGAACTTGAGTAGAGGAATATAGCTGAGTAGGGGCGTTTTGGAAAGGCCAGAGCTGAACATTTGAAGGAGGCCGAGGAATTGGCCAAGCAGCACACCGCCGAGCTGTATGGACCCTGCCGCCATATCTTTAGTGTACAGGGCAAGGGTGGCACAAGCTTAGGCGGCGAACGTTATGGTGGATGAAACTACCGAGTTGATCTTGAAAATGTAGAGTGCGGTTGCAACGTCCCTCAGATCATGCATGTCCCTTGCTCTCATATGATCACGGCCTACAGGGTTCGCGGGTACAACTATGAGGATCTGCCATATATG